GGAGGCAGATGAGCGTCAGCGTGGTACATTTCTTCCAGTTTTGAGCTGCCACTCTGCCTGCTGATGTTCTATAAAATTGAAAAACCTGTGATTTCCTATGCTTCCTGCAACCTTGTCCAAAAAGTCTCTCACTATCACCACAGTCAGCCAAGAAAAATGGGCATGAAAGAGTCATAGAATCATCAGGGTGGGAAAAGTCCTCTAAGATCATTGAGTCCCACCATTAACCCAGAAACACTGTGCTCTCCACTAACCATGTCCCCATGGGGCACATCTGCTTGGCTTTTGAGCACTTCCATGGATGGTGACTCCACTACTGCCCGTGCCAGGGCTTGACAATCCTCTCAGCGAAGAAATTTTTACAAATATCCAGTCTAAACTTCCCCTGGCACAACTTGAGTTCACTTCTACTGGTTCTGTCACTTGTTACCTGGGAGAGGAAACCAGCCCACACCTGGCTACAATCTCCTGTCAGGGGGTTGTAGAGAGCAAGAAAGTCTCTCCTCCTAGATCCTTCACCAGCACCTCAACATCTTGCATGTAGTGATGGGCTCAAACAGATATATTGCTGTTTCTTTTCTCTCCCATCAACTGACTGCAATGTGTGGACATTCCAGGTCTCTGATCTCAATCAGTGTAACTTCTTTTGTTTGGCTTTCCTTACTCCCTCTTATATCTGCAGCTATATACCTCACTGTGGTGAACTTGGGCAAGATCATGACTACTGCTTATGACAGTCCAGCAGTTCAGAGTATTCAGAGCACATGTGCCCAAGTCCTAAGGGATTGCAAATCTACGCTGAAAACTGTCCTCAAACTCTTCTGCTCTCTGGAGCTCATCTTGCAACTTTTTGTGGCTTGGGCGCCCTTGACTCCTCATTAGACTGGACCGGAGAGGAGCCAGAGTGGGCTTTAAAGGTTGGTCTGCCTGCAAGAACTGAGGACTGAACTCTTGCTGATGGAAATGTGGATAAACTGGGAAGTGTCAAAGAGCTCAGGAGGGATTTGAGTTTTATTTTCACACAAACAAGTACTAAAATCATTGATGTCTGGGAAGAGGCCTAAGGAATCCCAGTCAAGCCTAGGTTCAAGCAGGAATGGTTCCCTATCTTCCAACTCCATCAGACATTTCTCCATGTCTCCTTTTTCCCAGTGCTTAAGTGCAGTGACTGCCCTGACAGTCATTCAGTACCAAGCTCTGTAACATTTTTCAGAAATGGTATGAGCATCTTCCCTTACATCAGTCAGGAGGGGTGATAGCAAGATCTTGTTCATATCTTTTTCCGTAATCCAAACAGCATCAGAGGTAGGAATGAGTCTGCTTTCCATGTCACATGCTGGAAGAGTGACCATCACAGCTCATGGTGATGATGACCGTCTATGAGAGAACCCTGAGACACACAACTCTGATGGAATATATTCTTCCTTCTGTCCCCCAGCCCAATATTAATGACTGAGCACTTGCACAACAAACTATGAATGACTTAATATTGAGTATAAAACTTACAGGTGAGATGACAGTTTCATTCTTTTCCTCACTGTAATAGAAGAATCAGAAGAGCTTTACATCTTGAATTTAGGTTTTCTGTATATCTGCCCAATGAAGTCTGTCATACATGAGGTAAGTCAAATTTGTGCACAGGATCTTGGAAGAGAAAAAGGGAATAAAGTCAGGTTAATATTAAGAAGCGACAGATCCTCTTTGGCTGACAATAAATTCCAAGGTAGGGACGTTAAAAGTTTTACCATGGTCAGAAACAAGCTGGCTGAAAATCAAATTTGCAAATCTCTGGGTTCCCCCACTGTGCTAGTCTACTTCAGATCTATGGCCAGCTTTGAAGGGCTTTTTTTTTTTGGTCTTTTCTTTTTTCTGGTCTTCTAAACAAGTTTTTGTTTGATATCACTTCCTTTCCCTGTCCTTCTTTTTAATTTCCCATCTCTAAAAATACCCTACCATTCTGTTAGCTAAACTTTTAAGATTTGTCTTCATACTCTAAAATGGGCAGAGGTTTGCAAGTGTAATCCTGCTGGAAGAATTCTCTCTAAGAGAAGCCCTTTCTTTTAACAGTGTCTACGTGTACATGCGTAATTATAGGATCAGACATGCATGACAACCACATGATTTTCCTTCTCAGCAGATAGTTTGTCACTGCAGATGTGGTATAGCTCACTATGTCTACATCCCTAATAGAAATGTCACTCATTGTACCTCTCCTGCAGAAATAACAAACTATTTTCTATAGCTCTGCTAAATCAGTAGATACTCAAAGCAGACAGAAAATCACAGGGAAATTTCAAGGCTTTTTTTCTAGTTCCTTCTTTGTATAGAAGAAGGAATAGCAGAATCAAAATTTGGACATTACCAAGATGTTATGTATATTAATATCTTTCTTTGATACTGTATTTGTTTAAATTATAGCCATGCATACTTAAGGGTTGTGCTTCGTGACCAATTTCCTTCCATGTGGTAATGAACAAATTACCATCATTATAGAATAGAAAGATGTAATTTTAAAAACCAATTTTTTTATGTGGGGGGGGGGGAAGTTACGAACATTGAATGAACAGTATGTTCTGTTGTTGAGTGGTTGTTTCCCTGAAGAATAATTCCCTATGTTAAAGAGACTCAATTTGGATTTATGCATGATCAAGTAATTTCATCTGACTAAATTGCATATCTCCTTGTTTTCTATCCTGTCCACTTCTCATGCCATTAGTGTAAGATTTTCCAGATGATAATCCTTTTATTGTGTTCTGATACTGTTGTACCCATTTACATCCTCGTAAAATTAAATCATAGCATTTCATCAGGTGCAAGATAACATTAGTGGGATATAAGCTCCTGGGAGGGTCAGTACTGAACAATAACTCACAATATTGGGAGTCTTAAAAAGAACAAATTAATCCACTGAATCACCCTTCCTTATTTAGTCTCACATATCCCACCTAACTAATGCTCAGTGTCATACTGGGAGGCTCAAGGGTCTCTTTTTATTCTTTTTTTGGAGCATTTGTAAGGCACTATAGAAGATTCTTGTTTCCAGCATCTGTGTATTTCTGCACTGGGGCATTTCTGCACTCTCCCTCTCCTTCAGGACCGTTATTTCTATTACATAATTGCAGTCCAGGAGTGATTTAAGGATCATTCTGTTTGTCTGTATTTACAGTGACCAACTCAGCCATCGCTTCCAAAGTGTACTCCCTTCACCTATGACATCTCCCTGCTTTGCTTCTCTTCTCCCTTCACATTTTTCATGGCTTCAGGCTCACCTTATCTCTCCTGGACAGTTGTAAAATCCCATCAACAAGAAAAGTAAAAATGCAGTTGTGTCATACTTCTTGGCACTGCTCAAGGACAAGGAGGTTCACCTTTGTCCCCAAGCCTTCCTCCTGGTCCTTGATTTCTTGCCTTTGCGTCCTTTCCCTGTCTGCTTTAGTACACTTATACCCTAATGCTTGCTCTCTGTGTGTTTTATATTGTGAGAGAGCAATAGAAATAATATCCTGCAAAAGTAATGGCACTGCAATTCTGTTGCATCTATATTTTGCATTCCTGCAGTTCTGTTTGCTTTCATGTGAAGCTTTGGACCTTAGTTGAAGGTGTACAAGTTCAAAAAAAAAAAAAAAAAAAAAAAAAAAAAAAAAAAAAAAAAAAAAAAAAAAAAAAAAAAAAAAAAAAAAAAAAAAAAAAAAAAAAAAAAAAAAAAAGAAGGAAAGGAAGGAAAAGTTATCTCACATGCAGGTCATGAGAAGATAAGCTAGAGAAAAACAGAAAGATTTTTATTTCAGCTTTCCTGTCACTTACAGAACTTTGAAGTCTGTCATGTGTTTATCTCCAGACACACATATTAGAGCAGCCAGTGACCAAATCTATCTGGTTACTGTTGTGTAGCCTTAGCAAACCGTTTGGGAAACTGAAACAGGAGTTCGGAGAAGGTCTTGTCATAATGATACTTCTGAGTTCTCAGAAATAATGTAAAAGTACCTGGGATGGTTTAAGAGATTTCGAGGTGTGGTTTTGAGTAGTGCTTTTCATTGGATGAGTTAGAAATCACTAGACAATGCCCACGTCTCTCATACTTGTTTTGCATCCTGTTGTGAAACGTTTTTACTATACCCAAGGGACTGGCAGCAAGACACATCCCTCAGTATAAAGTAACTTCTTTCAACAGGCTTGAAAAACCTCCCTATCTGAAGCTGACTCATTTTGCCCCAGATCTGGAATCCTCCATCTTCTGTTTGCCATTTGACTGCAATTTGTACTAATCTTGAAGCATCTGAGGAAGTGTACTGAACTTTCTTCTAGTTGGTTGCTTGTTTTGGTTTAGGGTTTGTTTCTTGTTGGGTTTTTGTTTTTTTGTGGGTTTTTTTGTTGGTTTTTTTTTTTGGTTGGTTGGTGGGGGTTTTTTTGGAGGGGGGTAGGAGGAGGTTAAGACCTTTTTTTCATGCTAGGAAAGCAAGGTACATGAGCTCTTATCTTCTATCGGACATATAACCCCTCATAAATTATTTCTGAGTACACAAACTTTGTAAAATTTTAACCTCTCTGAAATTGCTTTCCTCCTTTCCCACAACAAAGAAGGGCTTTAGTATTGCCCAGGTAGAACTTGCTCAGGTGTACCTGAGATCAGGTGGATCAAGATATAGAAAAGAAAGGCTAAATTCCCAGCAGGTGTAATTAATCCAGATATACGGAGTGTGGGGGAAGCTGAACTCTTTCTTCCCACTGAAAAACAGCTCTCGCTCAGCTTCATGGGCACAGAAGATTTTCCCAAAGCAAGAACAACCTCTGGCCTATTGACATCCAGTCCATTACATTATCTGATTGTTCAAGCAGAACAAGATGTTAACACAGGCATTGTGCAATTTTGTAGGATAAGCATTTGAGGCCCACAGATGATGTGATGGGTTTTTTTACTCAATTGCAAAACTTATTTATTTTGTATCTGTAACAAATTAAAAAATAAAAGAGTTCATATCTGCCATCTTCTTTCAATGGGTTGACCAGGAAACAGCCATCTGCTTGAGGCATTTGGAGGTCTCTCCATATATAAACCCAAAAATGCTTCATGAGTCCTTCTTGAAGCGTCGTGAGCAGGTAGTGAGGTAAGATACATCCATCTAATAATTCCATCTCTATTTTGCAGATACTTGAGAAAAAAAAAATAAAACTACAACCCAAACCTTTTCTTTTGCTTTTTCTGCTGTAAACATGAGAATAACCTTTCTTTTAAGAGCTAGTCTTTATAATATTTAAAATCAAATATTTCCTTCATGACCAAAAACCATCTTGACAGAAACTAGTCTAAACCTAGAAAGTTTGACTTTTAGTTTATTAGACTAATTTTTTATTATCTTTATATACTTATTGCTTCAAGAACATTTTGGATTGTCACAAAATATTGTTATGGAAAAGCTTATTCTGTAACCTCTCAGTGAGGTTCATGTCTTAGAAAATTAGAAAATCTTTGAGAAAAAAGACCCAAACATTTCGTTTATGCATGCAGATTATGCAGTTCCAAATGTAAGATTTTGAGGGGAGGGTTTTTTGGCTTTTGTTCTTTTGCGTCAAAGAGAACTAGTGTGTCAGACAGTCTAACACATGAATTTGTAACTTGGTGCTCCTGTATGCCAGTGGTGTGGTTGTTTAGTGCATGCTTTGAGAGCTGATTTTAAAGGTCTTAAGGAGTCGGTTTTAAAAATTTATATTGATTCAGTAGGGGATGAGGATGCTTGACATGTTAAATTATTAGCATTTACATTATGAACATGTTAATTACTGTATTTTTAATGCTGTTAGCTTTTATAAACTAAGATATGAGTATTCTTAAAGGGACACCGGAAGATTTGCAACGTGCTGGAAACCAGTGTTAAACAAACCAGCATAAGAAATATTTTTTCATTTCTTTTCACTCTTCGTTCTCCCATTTTACATTTCAGTAAGGATTTTCTATTCGTTTGTGTCTTGCACCTGAACTCCAAGGTAGCATAAAATAAATAAATGAATAAATAAAGGAAACAAAACCAAACAAAAACCCAAAGCCCAAAACCAAACAGAAACAAACAAACAAAACCAACAGGAAGCAAAACAGACTAAAAGACAGCATTTAATCATTCAGTTTGCATTGATCTGTGATAATCCAGTCACAAACTGTGCTATAGATTCCCCCACCTCCCCTCTCTGCTGTTATGGCCACAGCAATGCTTTGTTTCTTTAGTTAAAAGCATCTGATTCATGATGGTGACCAGCAAACAAGCAGAGTAAAACAATTTACAGACATGCTTCCCGTCCTTTTCTTTGGGGAAAAAAAATGACTTTAGCTGTAGGCAATCAGAAGTTGCTGTGCAGCAAAATAAAATGAATTTTCCTATAAGCGATGCAGCTCGATATAACATTGTGTCACAGGCCAGAGAATAATCTTTCCAGCCTCACCTGGACACTGCATTGGCACATACTGTCCTGAGAAATCCCTCTGGGAGTAGGAGAGGTTTAAAACTTGCAGGGTGTACTGGGTTAATGAGGCCGAAGCAGAGATAAGGCGATCGGTAAATCGAAGCCTGCTGATAGTGGTCAGGGTCCAAAATGATGTAGCAAGATCTCTGTGTCGGTACAGGAGATGGAGATAAGGGACAATATCAGATGGATGTCAAGGAAACCTCTCAGATCAGGCTGGGGTACCTTGCTCCTACACTCATAAAGCCCAGCTCTTAAAGCTGAATTCCCAGAGCTGTCCTCCAGGACAAGGAGCTCCAGAAGAAGAGTTTTTTCACACATCAGTGAGAGGAAGCTTTTTATAAGGTCCCAGTGAGAGTGTAGGGTTAGCAATTAGGATTGGATAGGATAGGATAGGACAGGATAAAGATAATTTCAGTTGCAAGGGACCTACAATGAACACCTAATCCAACTGCCTGACAAGTTCAGGGTTACTGAATATTAAAACAAATTATTTGGGGCAAAACAATTAAAAGGAAACACATACATCCAAATTTAGGGTTTGGACCACTGGTGAGTCACTGGAACTGCTGAATGCTACTCATGGACAAAGCACTAGAGGAACTGTACTTAGAGGCTGGATGGGAAAGAACAGAAGTGAACCTAAACTTTTTTTGTACTTAGTCCTCTTCAAGATGCTGAAGACCATTAAGACAATTACAGATTTCACTTAAGAAATTTGCAATGACCTCTCTATATGTCCTCATATTTTTTTTTTTAAAGAAGGCTTAACATGGAAACAGCAATCACAGTTCTCATTTGCCTGGAGGTGTCCTTCAAAATGCTCGTGCTCACTGCCTGAACAAGGTCTTGTGTTGCAATGGAGGTGCAAGATAATGTCATTAATGAAAACTGGGGGAGTCAGGCAGCAGGGGAGGAGGCAGAGGGGAGCAGTTTGCAGGTTTCAAATTGAAGGCATGATTTTTTTCAGTTGGGCATTACGCATAATCTTGGGGCTACACCTTCCAGCAGTGTGTCTGCACACGTGTCTGGAGCTTCCATCCCTGTCTTCTGGAGTCTGAAAGCCTGAGGCTACAAGATGTGTTTCTGCATATTCTTTCTTCTGGCTGGTTTTGTTATATCATACCGTTTTCAGTCTGTGGGAGGGTGGAAAGGAGGAGGTGCTGAAAAGCCTCAGGAAAGCAGAAGGTTTCTAATTTCTTCAATCCAACCAAGTGATGGAAAATTCGCCAAAAATTTTTTCTAGTGTGATTTTTCAAGCTTTCAGGAAACTACTCAGTAACCCAGTAATTTCTAAAATCTTGCAAAGAAGTTGATATGATGAGCAACTTTTCTTCTTGGCAAAGAATAGGTTTGGGTCTGCCTTGCCCTCTGCCAGCAAAACTCTAAGATTTTGGTGGTTTTCTTTACTTTCAACCATTCTAATTAGTACTTAAATTATTATGGTTTGATTTTTATTTCAGTTTTTTTGATTCATAATAAAACCAGACATTGTGTGATTACCTGAACTGAGGTCTGTATGACAAGCATCAGGTTCTCTGAAAGCTGCCAACGTGGCAAATCCTCTTCATGGGGAAAGCACATCCTGCTTCTTGGACTCAGGGAGCTCCAAGAATAGAAATGCTATACTCTCATAAAGTGATATTGCCTAGTTCAATACAAAAGTGTTAATAACCAAGTTTACCTCCTGTTGGCTGCATCTTAGTGTGGGCATCCCAACACTGGACTTACTGAGGGCTTACAAAACTGGACTTTCTGAGTGTCAGCTCAGTAAGTCTTTGCACACCTCCCCCCAAAAAAAAAAAAAAAGAGAAGGAGGTTGCAGGATGCTCTGTGCAGTTTGGCATGAGCAGATTAATATCTTTCTTGGTGGGTTTTTATTTCACCAACTAGCTTTTCAGCCCAACACCTTTATTCTTGTCATCTTATGTATGTTCTAAAGGACATTTCTCACACATCTCGAGAAGCCTATGAGTCAGTATTTTTAAACTTGAAATTAGGTTCCTAAAACTCTATCCATGAATATAAATTCTGTCACAGTTTTGGAAAGTGTTAAATATTCTGTAAATGTCACCAAACCAGAGTTTTGAAGTTGAATTAGCTTATAATATATAACTACTTTCCAAAAGTAATTTATGTGAAAATATACAGGGGAGGAATGAAAAATCAGAAATCAGTAATCAACAATAAAACTTGCCCAGATCTTCTACATTGTCACTGCTGGTTTTGTTTTTGATGATTGTGTATTTTTTTTCTTTTCTTCAAAACTAAAACCTACATGAAGGTTCTGACAAGCAATAAAAATGAATTTGTATTTCTTTCCCAATTTCTTCTTTACAGAAGGTACTCTCCTTTTATAAATGTTTTTCATATTTTGAATTTAAAAAAGAAATGAAATGCTATGCCTAGAAGTTTCAAAATGGGCCCTGAAAATTCTCAACACATATCCCAGTGATAAAGTTTTAAGGAGGAGCTTTAACCACAGGGGAGTTTATGTGCTTTTCATATATAAGATATTCCTTTAATTTCTACTTTTGGATTTGAAAAATTCTGGCTTCAAAAATTACTTGTTTCTTCTAAAGCCCAATTCAAAAAATATTCGTGCCCTGAACAACAGCTAATAAACATGTATTTACTCCAGACATGGTTTTAAGTCACCTCCAAATGAACAGAAACATGTTATTGAATCCTGTATTAAACATTCCTCCTGGGAAATGTTCTGACCAGGGCTGGATTTAAATGCACACTAAACTCAGACACACCCTATCTCAGGCCATGCACCGTATGTGAAATTATAATTCCCTCTTCCCAGGCTCTTGGATATATGGGAGGCAGAGAAAAAGTTTTTAAATTTGTACTTGAAATAATGTGAAATGAGTAAACTAAATTCGACCCAGCTCTAACATGAGATGAAACCTAACCATAAACAATCTGTTCTTTCATTCAGGTCCAAGCAACTCTTCCTGGAGCTTTTTCTCTTTTGGATTTCTTATCTCTGTCACCAACAAGAGAACTGAATCTCCACGCCATTCCACCACTGAAGTGAGATGCTCTGACTTGCTGGTGAGTGAAAAGAAATTTACTGGTTAGATAAATGTGATGGAGTCCCAGTGACCAGCAATAGCTGCTGTAGATAATTTGGGGGTTTGCAGAGTCAAGACTGGTGGATTTGGATCTGTGTTGGGTTGAATGTGTTTTGGTGTGTTTATAGGTTCCACCAAGTGCCAAGTAACTTCTGTCCTGGGAAAAAAAACAGGAGGGCAGCTCTTCCCTAGCAAATTCTTTTGCTCTCACTTACAGCCTGCTCAGTTTGGTTCACCCAAAGAGGAGCTAAAAACGGATATTAAAAGTACTTAGAGTAAAAATAGTGCTTGGAGAGTGTCTTTCAAGTTGCTCCTTGGTATAGCCAGAGGCAGGTGAGACAGGGAACAGAAAGGGATCAGGACAACAGCAAACACCAACCTGTGCAGCTACCCTTGAGATCAAAGATGCGTTCAGGGAAAATACTCTGGGTGACACCTGCAGCAGTTGTGGTGAATTAACCAGATGATGGTGGAGGGTCACTGAGAAGAGCCTGACTTAGTGTGCAGCACATGGGCTACTGTGTGTTCTTAAGCATTTTTGTGCACCCTTCCAACAAATGCCTGTTTTGCTGAAGTCTTTGCTGCCTGTACTGTTGGGAAAGGAGCAGGCCACCCCTGGAGAAAATAAGGTTTCTTGTTTTCTTAATTCTCACTTTTTGAAATCCTATGTGTAGGCACTTGGCTTTACACTCATCAAACATTGCATTTTTTGCCAAAATCTAGTCCCTTACAGCAGAGGACTTTTTTTCACCTTTTCTTCATTACAACTGTTGCTTCATCTCCTCATCTCAGTGAATTCTTGGTGGTTTTTTTTTTTTTATATAATTTTCTAAATAAAGATAAATCTGCTAAATCCCGTAAGGTACAGGGAAGTCATGGGCACCCTGAAAATGAAGTAGCAAGTTACCTCAAGAAAAATCACTCTTACAGAAAACAGAAAGAAAGATTTAATAGAAAATTGTGCAAATAGGTTTTAATAGAAAATTATGACCCTTTCCTTCCAGGGCAATGTAATCAATGTCTAATATACAGGTCTCCTTTCCACAAGGAGAGAGAGACACATGAAAGGTAGGTGTAATTTTCCAAACACTGGATTTCTTCCAGTCTGTCTAGATATAAAGTACAGGCATTCCAACTGATTTACACAGAACCATTTTGTTTTTAAACCTCACATTTCCAGAAAAGAAAACCTCGAATGCAAATGTTTTTAGATACGTGTATTGCTTAGAAGTTTTTCTGGATAATTTATTTGGTTTATCAGTTTGCAGTAGCAAGAATTTTTTTTTTTTTGAGTCCTTTTGTTTCAGAATGAAATTTAGACCCTTTTATTTTTTTTTTTTCTTTCTCCTAGATCACTACCTTTATAGCTAACCCTTTGTTGGTTACAAATGTTGGGTACATTTACTTGTGCAGGTAGGCTTTGGGTTCAGGATGGGGTCAGCAGACCTTATCTGAGCTGATAAATGTGGGGTTTTGCCTATGAATAGGATTGTGGGAACAAAAACCCAGGTAAAGACCTGTACTCTGCAACAGCCTCTGCTGTGAGTGACTCTGCAAAGATGGAATCTGCTGGGGCTTCTCTTTGTGTGTGTTTGCACAACTGATACACCACGTATCATACTTGCAAAGCCTTCTCCCCCCTTCCCTCCCGGAAAGCCGTATCTGTCCTTATCTTCTGCATTAATCTTTCCCAGTACTGAGACAGTAAAGTTAGGACACAGAATGGCTTTGTCTGCAGGAGCACATTCAGACTAGTCTTCCAGACTAATTTTCTGCTTGGGTTACTTTCCTAATTATAATTTGTGTTCTCATCATGTCGTGGAAGAGTACATTTTAAATGAGCTCACAATGCACGGTGTAGAATACCAGTTTATAGCCCTGTCCGTAACCTGGAATACCAGCTTTAAATTTATCATAATGCAAATGCCATAATAATTGCAAGTTTTCAACCCTGTGATCTAGTTATTTTTTTTCCCCAGCTATTTGTAAACTGAAGGCTCAGGTTTCATTTTCCCACTCCGTGTATAAGACCACTGGGGCACCATGTTGGTCTACCTCCTTACAATCAGAACTCTGTATGCTATGGATCGTGTTCCAAAACACTGTTAAATTTGTGGAAAGGGGAAAAAAAATTACATTAATTATGCCCTCTTTAGCCTTCCTATGCTTGCTAATAGTTTTTAAATGGACTGTTTGGGTTGGTTTCTCTTTTTTTTTTTTTTTTTACTGGTAACCACAAAAAAAAAAAAAAGTTTCTTTCTCTAAATTAATACTAGAACTATTTCCTAGGAATGAAGGAATAATTTTTACTGAGTGACGGAAATATGATGCCTGATTTTGGTGAGACTAGAAGCAGCTAAGGTTTCAACTCTGAATTAACCACCTACTCCTGGGAAACAGTCTCATGCAAAAATTTCAGGGGCATCTTATTCTAATGAGAGGCACTTTTTTTAAAGGGTGGTGCCATGCACAAAAGCATATGTATGGGAGGGGGGGAAAAAAAGTGATAGATGTTGCTTACAAATTTACTTGAATATCTTTATTTGCACACCTAACCTAGCCTGATTTACCTTATCACAGCTTCTACCTGCAGGTACATCACAGAGCCAGGGGTTTGTAACAAGATAGTGTTGCCTAGTGTTGCCAAAAGATAGTGAGGTGGTGGTCGCACGAAAGCCAGACTTTTTCCTACCCTGTGGGATCGTAACCTGTTGTTGGGACGCAGCAGGACAAAAACAATAGTACCTCAGCTGCACTGGGTGTGACACTTGTCGTGTCAGAGAGAGAAGGAGCCCGGCTTCCACGTCTCCCTGGTCCCACTTTGCAATCTGTTGAAATGAGATCGCACGTTCGGATCTGGTTGGTCCCCAAATAGTGATGTTGAGTCCTCATCCTTTGTAGCCTTACAGGCAAAATCTCAACGCAGCCCCAGTGGGTAGCAGTTATAGATCATTAGCTGCAAGACTAATTCGCTGTGGAAGTGTAGGATAGCATGAGCACTTGCTGTGCCAGTGCAGCCATATTCATTTGAGGGTTTTTGCATGACAAGCATGAGTGTTTTCCAACAGGATACAGATGATTTGGATCGTGTCATGAAAAAATCTGAATATTTTGGCCCGGTGTGCACCCTGAGCACAGCTATCTCCACCATGGATGTGAGAGGGGTGCTCCTTCCTTTGCAGAGAGCTCAGGAGAAGAATGGTGGAACATCTTCCCAGCCTGCCCACCTTGGGAGCGATGGCCCAAAGGAAGAGTTGGAAAACCAGTGCTGGGGTCCCACTGCTGTAGAAGGGAAAGCTGAAAGAAGTTTGACCTCTTGTCTCTCGTTAACCACAGGATCTTTCCCCTCATCCAGGCTGCCAAAAATACACCCAGCTGATGCTGGAAATTAAATTGCCTGAGGAAGAGCACGTGAGATCTCTCAGCCCTGGGCATGGCAGGACAGGGGGATGCGATGGTCCCCAGGAAAGTGCAGCTCAGCGCTTCAATCATCTCCCCAGACTTGAGCAGCTGAGCTGTGGAAATCACTTTGACGTAAATCTCTCAGCAGTCTTTTTGTCCGAGATAAATGGTGCATAAAGGAAATGCAAAAATTGTTTGGTGGACAGGATTATCTGCATGTTTACTGCTCTCAGCACTTCTCTTTTGTCTTTTGACTGTGTAGTTCCCCTCGGCGTGAATAGCTGTGCACGCAGCTAAAGCTGCTGAACACAAGCAGGGTGTGAGCGAGCTCTCCCTTTAAACCTGTGACAGCTTTGCACTTGTGGTTGCAAGAAATGTCAGGCTAAAAGAATCACTAGTGGTAGAAAGCAATTATTTTTCATTTCCAAGGTTGTCTGTTCAGTGTTAACCCAAATGTAAACTTTCTATAGTTCTGCATCATTATCATACCCCTGGATTTCATTTGTTTATTTATTATTTATTTATTACTTTCATTTCCGTTTGCTGTTTCACATATGAACCCTCACACATAGGAGCACACAGCTGGGACACCTCATACTGTTTCTGTTTCATAGTATGGCATCCCTTCGGGTCTATTTTAGTATGTATTATTCTGTTGCCATAACAAGCTGATGATATATAATATTTGTATAAGGATTCAAATCAATGTTTATCACATTAGAGCACTATCATTTAAAAGGAAAGCACAAATCAGTAATGCATTAAGCAAGAGAGAAATGAATGATTTGAATTTGTTGTTCTTCTCCCCTCTAATACTTTCAGAAGGAATTGCATTGTTTAAATGAAGTTTGATAATTTTTAGACTAAATTAGTCTGATTTGATACATCTAATAGTAGTTAGTGTAGCATTCATCATGTGATAAATAGTGGAAATGCACAATTATCGTATATACTTTTCAGTTTGTTAGAACTTCTTATTCATTAAAAATATTTCACTATGTTAAAAATACTGAGGGTGAGGGGGCTGGGGGGAGGTGTTATATGGTTTTCCAAGCTGGATGAAATAGCTTCTTTAAATATAGACAAAATTATTCATTTCAAGTTGGAACCATTCATGTTCAAAAAGCTTGTCTCATGAAAAATGAATAGAGCTGCTTTGAAACAGAAAATGTTACTCTTTAAAAAAGGGATATATTCAATCTAGGAAATGTTAGAAAGCGTAACGCTTCTGGAAAAATTGCAGAAGTTTTGCTTGGGGTTTGAATTTTTGACTAAAACAACCGGAGGAATAAACATAAATATGTGACAGATGATTAGCTCAGTCTTTTTTTTGTTGTTTGTTTTTTTTTTCACTGATAATTAACTTTTAATTGCCGTGTTATAGTTGGAAGAAAAAAACCCACCATTCTCTGGTATCATGTATATATTGCAACTCGAGGAAGGGCCTAATATTCTTTCTCTGAACCTGTTCAAACCCTGAAGAAAGCCAGATGGTCTCCTGCATGGGAAGATGGGATAAATGAATAAGTACATAGAATTTAAATGCACCTTTAGCCCTACTCATTTCCTAATTCACCA